ATTAACTATCTCTTCAAGTTAGAGTAGGTTAAAAGACCTCAAATAACATAATTTAGGTTATCAAGAAAATGACAGAATTAATCCAATGTGGGTAAAATATCAAAAGTTTTCCAGTCAAATTTTCTGAGTCTATTTTGGAAAAGGCCATGATGCTGGGGGGAAATGGACTACAAATTGATAGATACTCATTGAATCGCCTGGTTATGCTATAGAAATCACTTTGTGACATTTGAGCTGTTCTTACTGGGGACCCTGTATGATATATATCTGGGAAAAACAATAACCTTAGGAAAATAAGGTTATTAAATCAAAATAAATTCAATCTGCTTTCCTTCCCATACTAAATTAAGAGCTAAGCAGAGCTCAGAAGGCTCTTTTCTGAGGCAGAACGAGAACAGGGCCTCCAAGCAGTGGCTGGAGCTGAAAGTAGGAGCTGCACAGGGGTCAGCACTGAGCATTGCTAATGCCACGTTGCAGAACTCATCTCTTCCCCATGATGGCTCAAAGATGACAAATACCCATATAATTCAGGTTTAATATGCCTTAATAAGACCCCCCGAGACAACCATCTCACTGAAAATAGATCAAAACGAGTTACATTTTAGTTAAGATAAGCCTTGTATTATTAATACACTTATCTGTTTTTCTTTAATTCTCTTTGTTAAGGGAAAAAAGTCAGGGAAAGAATGTGTACGTGTGTGTTTGTATGGGGGGTTGGGAGTTGTTACTTAAAAGTACATCTTTAAATCAGCAGAGTTCTAGAGGCAGGGAAAGAAAAGGACCACACAAACTTCAAATGGCATCTAATGAATGAATTCATATCGAAAGCACACACATACATGCAAGGTTGCAGTTAATACCAATATTTGCTCTATTCATTCAGAAATCCAACATAAGGTGGCAATATTTATATTTAGCTCTAATAAAAAGCAACTATTGTGGGCACAGGGCTGAATTTCGTGCTAAAACAGATGTCTAAGAACAATTCATTTTTCTAGCTGCACTTGTTGTAAAATGATGCTCCATTACAGGGTGCCAAATAGTTGAACAAATTGTTACCACCTACCAAGTATAGACAATGAGGTTCTCAACATAAATACAAAGGTCAATGAAACTGGGTCTTAGTTCCAAAGATACTAAGTATCTGGGGGAAGACATTATGAACTCGGCTAACTGCACAAGGCTGGGTGCTAAGCATTAAGGACAATGTCAAAAGAACATGAAGAAGGAAGATTAATCAGTAGTTCTAAGTCAATTTGTATCCATCAGGATGAGAGTAAAGCTATGTTAAAAAAGCAAACAAAAGACAAATATTTTCTATAATTAATTTTATTATTAAAGAATTATTTACAATTAACTATATTTGTCCAGGTCTTATAATGATGAAAAAAATATTGAATTCTTAATTCTAAGCCTAATCAGATTTATTTGGCTTTCTGAAAAGCCAAATACAAAAAAACAATAAATGCCCAACTCCATACATGCTTAAACAAAATGAGGATCAGTGTGACTTCCTTTTCTTTCCTTCTTCTCTTCCTTCCTTTTTTTTTTTTTGGAAGAAATTATTAGAAAATTGGAAGAGCAAATTCAGTTTTTATAGAATGAAATATGGTTTTTATAGATAAACTTCAACAAAGGTATGTCTCCAGAGCCTTGATGTTAAACCATGGTGAGCCATGGGTTTCCCTGGCTATGAAATGCAGACCTTAGGTGCCACCAGTTGCAGACTTCTTTCTCCTCACCCATATTGCCTATCTCTGAAATGCATTTAGAAATGTTGGCACCCAAAGTTGTTGTCTTTATAGCCAACACAGTCTGAATGAAACTGGGCTCAATCAAAAGCTAACACAAAGACATTCTCAGAAAGACTAATGTACTGCATAGTAATCATTCTGTGACGTTAACTAATTCTTGTCTATCAAAGTGCAAAATGTCTCAATGTGTACATTATAGAAGTATTGGCTAATGGTTCTAATTAAGTAAGTGATTATAGGGCAACTTCTTTATGCTGAGCATGACATAAGGTATTCAGGACCAACAAAAGATAGAAAAAAAGTATATGGTCTCTAGGAGCTAATAATAATCTTGTTACTTAAAACACACTTTCTAAACTTTAAGTACTAAGTTCTGAAAACATGAGAGGTAAGATTAAACAAATAAAACAAAACCCGTTATTTGTGTATAATAGTTAATCCTGATCCCCAAAGCTTTGGAATTTGTTTAAATAAAAAGGCTCTTGCTTTTATTTTTGACTTATCTTTATTGTCTAGTTCAAGTACCTCTGTTCTCTGTTTTTGAGGCAGAAACCATTCATTTTAGGTTTTTACTTCTTTTTAACATTTTGTCCAAATAATGTTTCACTTAGAAGTGAATGTGTACATGCAGAATCTTTTATGCTTTAGCAACCCACAATTGTTAAAAATCTAATGAATTAATGCCAGTCTGATTCCAGTTAAAATGACAATGTAGAAAAGTAATGTCTCCCATTATGGATACAGACCTCTAGAAATGAATGATTGGGGGTCGGGGGAAACCCATGGAATCAGTTAAAGGCATTTAACAAAAAATACCAACTCTCTTTTCTCTTTTGCTAAACATGTTTGTCAAGCAGTTTTCTTCATATCTATCCCCCGTTTCCCCTCTGCACCAAAACCATTGATCTTGAACCTTCAAGTCTTGCTCTTTTGTGCATCACGTATCAGTGAAACCTCCTGTTAGAAATCTATGCTACCACTCACTTATTTTTATTCAATAGGCATAAAATTAGAATTTTTAAAGAAAAGTCTAAAGTATATTGTAAGTTGAAATTAACCAAGTCTTTGGTTAAAGAACAATCATCCCCAGAGAAATTTCCATTCAAGAGAGAAATTCTGCACTCTGTTGCTTTTCTTTCTTTCTCATATCACATATTTACTGATAGCCTGATACAAACAGTAAAAATCAAGAGCAGACTAAATAAAAATATGCTCTTAATGTAGGTAGTACTTTACATAAAATTATAAACTGCCATATAATGAGCCTTCAAAACACCAATCTGGGAAATTTTTCAGATTACTTGAGATTGAATTAAAATGAGTCAAGAGTTTAAGGTAATAAATGCCCAAGTACATATATTGCTAATGATTTTCTTCCATATAAAAATGTGGTCTTCATATTTCCAAATGATGTAGGAATCAAATCTATTTTATTGGCACACTAAAAAGGACCCAAATCTTGAAAACAGGTAAAAATTCAGTACTTAAATACAATGAACTCATTCATTCCTAATGAGATTCTAGTCTTTATGATACCTCAGTGCAGCAGATCTATATAGTTGGGATTCAAAGTACATCTGAATTTCAACTGATTTACTTTCTGTTCATTTTTTTTGCTTATTGTTTCCCAATAAAATTCTTTCCAAAAGATCTCTTAATAAAAACTCTGAAAGAACTTCATTGCACATATTATTATTTTTTTTTCACATATTATTATTAATTATTATTACATGGAAGACATAACCCAGTGACAGCAAATAGTTAATTTTACAAAATGAATTAGTAATGTAGTCTGAGAGAGAGAATCTAAGACTCCGATTTAGGACAATCCACTTAGTCACAAATAATAAGGGCAAACACAATCTTTTCCAAGCCTCACTATACTCTAGTACTCACTCCACCCCCCCCCCAATCATTTTCACAGGGTCATAGCAACGATGGGAATTAATTTCTCTAGCAATGACAGCAAAGATAAAATCTGATCCTTACCATGGTTGCTAAGTTTAGTGGCTACCGTTGCTTTTTCTTTCTTCTAAGCTCTTCATTGCTTCTGATAACTTACCTGATCTGCTTAGAGATAATCTAAAAGCAGCTGTTTTTCTAATATCTATCTGTATATATATTTCTCTGGTGTGTGAGAATGTGAGAAGGAAGAAATATATACTGATAAGTCTCTTAGGATTATCAGTAGTAGCACTCAGTAGGACTGAACTTGAAGACAGGAACATAATTCCTCTGAGCCATTTCTTTTCAGAAAGAAATTTTGGGTGCCTTACAAAAATAAAATTCAAAATCCTAAGTAAATAAGGAAATCATGAAAATAGAAGAAAATAAAAGGCAATTATTCCATTTTATTGACCCTAGTTTAAAAAAAACACTAAAGTATTCAAACACACTATGAAATATACAACTGTCACAATGAAGGCATTTCAGAGCAAAATGTGCTGCAATATGCTGCTATGATTAAAAGCCATGTAATCTGAGGAATCTCTGTAACAAAAAGAAAATGAACTAGGCAAAAAGCTTCTTACTACTTTTCTAAAAATAAAAGGCTGTAATTTTGTCATAGTTACACAAAGGTAGGTAAGACTTTCATCTTTATCTAGCATTACAGCATATTTCCATCCATAGGTATTATAATTACATTCAAAGGAATGTACATGGTTTAATACGGAGAATAAACTATTATTCTATGATACTACATGTGTTTGTAAACCTGAACTCATCATAACATGCGCTAAGGGTAATCATTTAGCACATACTCTCTACACAGAGAAAAGATTCTCACACAGCTTTCCTTATACTCTTGTTTTTTAAAATGTACAAATATCACCGGACACAAACGAGAGAATAAGGAGCAACAATGAAGTACACCATATGTTCCCAGAGTAGGCTGAGTCCAGGTCTTTGTTCCAATATTCCAGAGCAACTGGAAGAAAAGCTAAGTACCCATCCATTAAAATACATTTTTACATTATTGCTGGCAAAAGTTATACTTCTGATAGGTTCAGTCAGAACCCATGCTATCCTGACTATTTCTGCTCGCATTTGCTTCTTTAATACAGATCTCTTGCAATTCTAGGAACCTGCAATACAACCACCCTGAATAACAGTTTGATAGCAGGACAATCTGATAAACAACACGAAGGATAGACATTGAAGAATGCAAAGTTATTTTCCTAGTTAAACAGTTCTGAAGTAATTCTATGTCAATGAGAAAATGTTTGCATTTTACCAGCTACGCACCTATTCAGATATCATCTACCTTCTCCTCATTTATAGCAGGGTCTCCCTCAATCTTGAGATCTCGTAGAACAGTTTTAATGGTGTAACTCAAACCAAAACCACTAACCACGCCCTTTATGCCCAGAGTCAAGCTTCCTTTTGCTTTTTTCTCCTCAAAGTCCAAAAATGTAAATCTTTCACCCAAAAGGGTTTGCACCGGTTTCCTAACCCAAGGCAGACTCTTTCAGCTATGCCCTGGTGTAATTCCTACTGGAAGCTTTCTCCGGGGCAATGTGAAACGCCGGGAAGAGACACCCACGCTTACCTCCCACACACCTGCAACCCCTGGCGGGATGCTGGAGCTAATGCTCCGAGACTGCTCTCCGCTCTGCTCTCGTTCCTGCTCTCCTCTCCCGGGAAACTACAGCGCAGCCCGAGCCTTCGGCGTCTACAGGGACCCAAGCTCCGCCCCCTCCTCTAGTTGGCGAATTCGGCGGCTGTTGCTCCTCCCCCTGCTGTTCCTGCCGCTGCCCCGGCTGGAGACAGCGGGGAGCAGCTGCGCGGGTACCTTTCCTCTGCCCGCACTTCGGCAGCTGCTCTGCCACTTCTCTTCCCGTGGGTTCATTTTCCCATCACAAGCTTTACACCTGGAGCTGCCTCCTGCCCCGCCTGGGCGCCTCTGCGGGGAGCCCAGTCTCAGCCTATCCTGCCCCGACCCGACGGTCTGGCTGCTCGGTGTGGCTAGGGTTTGGCTGCTCTTGGGGAAGCTGCCGCTTCGCGAGGGACGTCCCCAGATCGCGCTCTCCCTCCACCCCGCGATTTCCTCGCGGCTTCCTTTGCACCGGCACAGCATACAGAGCCCAGCAACCCCACGCTCCCCACCTCAGGCCCCTCACCCCCTTCCTTCCTCTGCTCCGCTAGCCCGCCCCCTCAATGGGTGAGGCGCGGGCAGGGCCGACCCTGCACCCTGATTGGCGCAGGTGAGAGTAGGCCCCGCCCTTCCTCTCCTTTGCGTGCACCCTCTCTCTTCATCTCACCTCCTCCCTCAAAGGCAGGGAACTCTCCTACTATTGGCTAGAGATGCCCCCACCCATGGCCTCAGGCTCTCCCGTATAGCCTGCCGGGAAGTGTAGTCCTTTGCGCGTAGGAATCGCCAAAAACGCCGGCGAGTGGAACTACGAGTCCCCACAGGCCCCTGCGCGACTCCGGCTGGGCAGGATTCCGGACAACGCCTGGTTCCTCTCAGGTCCTTCCGGCGTCGCCGGAGTGAATTGATCCGGAGTTGAAGAGGGCTCCAAAGGTGGGAAGTGAAGTCAGTGCCTCAGTTGCCGGTAAGGTGTAGCTGTTCTGCTCCAGTCCCCGTAGCTCCACGCGGAGCAAAAGAGGTCTGGGTTCACCCAGGGGCCGTGGCTGAAGCACTCGGGCTTGGTTTTGGCAGGCGGAGCCGACGGGGCTGGGAGCGGGGCCCTATGGGCGTAAGCGAGGTTACCTTACGCGAGTGGCGTAAAGCGGGTTTGTAAATGCCGCCTGCCCGGCTTGGGCCTGAACGCCTCCAGGAAGTCTCCTCTAGGTGGAGGCGGGAGGGGAAGAGCGAGGTTGGCCTCTGGTGCCCCCAGAGAAGAGAGAGGGCGGATGTGCCTGGGGTGGGGTCCTCTGAAGGTGTGGCTTGGGAGAGAGAGAGGTGAGGCTGCTGTTTTCCCTCAGCTTTATAAGTAAGATAGGGACCGAGTGAAGAAGGGGAGGGTGCTCGGGAGTCTGCTTTTGGGGTGACTCAGGTTATTGCCCTCTGAGGGAAGAGGAAAATTGGAGAAGGAAGAGTCAAATGTTGGCTGAGGTTCACGGATTCCGTTCCAGTGTAATGAGGTGGCCCCTCTAAGGAGGTATTTTTGCCTTAAGCAGAAAATCTTGACCCTCTTAGGTGTAGTACCTAAGATATGTTTACTCCTTTACTGTTTTTAAAGCGCTTTCATGTTGGGATGCTGATTAGGAAACTGAGGGAATATAAGACGTGCCCAAGGTCACACAAATAGGGACAGATCTGAATCTAGTCCATTTCGAGTCCAACTTCTGAACTAGAGCTACCGCCTCAAAAAGAAAGAGTGGGGTTGGTTGTGTTTTGTGTGTGAAGAGGGTGAAGGAAGTTGCAAGTAATGGTATTTTATGTAGTATTTCTCAGATGAAGAGTTGTTTTTTTGAGCTGGGATGAAATTCCTCAATAAAGGAAAGATTCTCTCTGACCTTTTGGGAAAATAAAAAGAAAGGATCATCTTGAATTTACATATTTTTTCTTTTTCTTAGGGATATATTAAAAGGTAAATTTTACTTCCACAGGTCAGTTTTAAGAGAGTTAATGAGATAGGAGAACATAAGTTATACAGTATATCCTATCCTTACAGTTAAAAGTATACCCCTTTACCTTTCTACCTTAGGACTGTTTTTACTCTCATTTTGTAAAACTGACAACAGTGGGATTGTGAAAAGTGTGAAATTTTTCACAGAACTTTACACTTTTTCAAATAATGTTGCACCAAGGAGAGTTTGGTGTGCTCATTACTAGAAAAGAAGATACATTGCATTTCTTGGAGGTAACATTTTACTTTTTGTTTACTTTTGCCCTCATTTTCTTGACTCTAAGGAGTATGTGTATTTGAGTATATGAATGATAAAATCAAGCTCTTGCATATTTTATTTTTCTTTGCATCATCTGTGACTTCTAATTCATTTTTATTTTACATTAAAAAGTGAAAAAGCTTTTATTTTACATTGAGCAGATAGCACTGTGCTTATTACAGTCTTATACTCTATAATTATTATGGCCAATATAACTCATGAATATTATTATTGGATAGGTTTTTAATAGAATTGGGGAAATATGTTCATTGATGTCAGGATTTCTTCATGATAAGTTTATATCCATAGAGGATACTTACAATCAGCAGGTAATCAATCATGATTTACTGTTATATATGTAGACTATCAAAATATGCTGAATTTTGAATGCACCCAGCAATTATCATCAACAATGTGTTTAAGTTTTGAATGCAGAAACACTTTCTAGGATCAGAGGTATTTTGTTCCCTTATGACTGAAGTTAAGATGGTCTGGAAATGACTTAAAATACAAGAAGTCTGATACTATAGAATGAAGTAAAATCAGGAATAACATAGCACCATAAGTGACAGAGTACACAGGCAAGGAAGAACGAACTAAAAAAATGGAAAATTATGTGGGGATAACTGGCTTTGTGCTGATTAGAAGGGTGTGGTAGTTGAAGTAGACCATAAAGTGAACATGAGTCAGTGATGGTAAGGCAAGATGTTAATGCATTTTCTAGATGGCAATGTAGGCATTGCCTTTTGTTGGGGGAGGTGTGAAATGAGTTCTTCTAACTTTTGGCATGTAGCTATGTGGTTATAGGAAGAGATTTTGAACTAAAAGGAAAATTTGGAAATAAATAAAATTAATATAATACACTTGTTCATTGTATATTAGTTTTTGTCCTTAGTTCAGTTCTACCACTAACTTCTCATTATCTCTGAAGTCAGTTATAGTTTTGATATTTCACCAATGTTGGAACGCAGAGTAAGGTATCTTGAATTTATTGCCTTTCAGTCACATGCTGGAGTATGTGGTCATTTTGGATCTTGGCAAATTTGGATAATTAAGAGTTCACAGAGCAATGTATACGCTTTCATTTTTATAGTAGTTTCTAGTCCACATTTGTTCTTATTTGGGGCTTTTTGCAGGAGCCTTTGTCAGCTTTTGGATAGCATCTCTTAAAGGACTTAGGATATCTTTCATATACATCTATCTCTCTTTCTTTCAAGGATATAAGGTCTGTAAGAACAGGAGCTGTATTATCATTGTAGTCTCAGTAGCTAGGATAATTGGATACCTATTTACAAAGAGAATGAAAGGGCTCAGATTGATTAAGTGACTTGTCCAAGGTCATGCAAGTAGTGACTAGTGGGACTAAGGTATAATCCATATCTTCTGACAGCAGATCTTTAATGTGTAATATAGACTTAGTTCTCTTATTTATGTGAGAAAAACACTTAAATTTGATTTAAATACTGTTTACTGCTGATAGTTTATCTCCTCTACTCCTGTCCAGCTCTCCATTCTTATCCCCAGCCTTCCTCATTTATTGTGCCTTTCTTTCAGTTATTACATACATAATCTCCTTCCTGACTGGGTGCCTTCTCCCTGCCTGGACTGTTTCCTCCTCCCTTTCCCAAATATGGACAACTCCTAGTCAATTTTCATGTCTCAGTTTAAATGTCATTCCTCAGGGAACCTTGCTGTTCTTCCCCAAATCAGAGTAGATCCCCACTGTATCTTCACCATACTGTGTACCCCTTTGTGGCATCATTATAATGGGAACTTAATTCAGTATTTTCTTTGATAAGTGTTTGTCTCCCTTGCTAGACTATCTGCTATCTGAGCAGGGTCCTCCCATTTGTCTTGTGTCTTACCACAGTACTTACACAGTACCTGGCACAAAATAAATGTTCAGTAAATACTTGCTGAACGAATGAATGAGTACATTCATGCACAGTGCCTCCAGCACTTTGCTAGGACAGAAATACAGAAATGAGTAAAACAGATATGCTTCCCACTTTCATGGAGGATGGAAGTTTATAGGAACTTTCAAATGAACTATAAAGCTTAGACAGGTTAGATACAAAGGAATTGTTGGCAGAAGTTTAGTGTAAATTGTGGAAAGATGTTTGTTCTTTATTCTGAGGTGTCTCCAAATCAGGATTAAGTAGTTTTCTATGTGGAAATGACAAAGGAGTCAATTTAATTTGCAGCAAAATTACCGTATAACAGCATTTTACAGACCTTATCACTGTTGTGCTTTTTGCAAACAGCATTCATTATAGCAAAATATAGACATGGAAGAAACTAACTTTAATGGACTCTGTTTTCTAATGTTATCTCATTTTGTCCTCAAAACTATTATTTCATTTAGATAGTATTAAGACTATTTTATAGCTGAGGACACCAAGGAATTAAGTTAATTTACTTTTTAACTCAAAGAAATGTAATGAAATTGCTAGTTTCCAGTGGGTAGATACTCCAGCCAAGGTTGGAGGAATTTAGATCTGTCTCCATGCTTTTCCTTTTTTTTTGCTTTGTTTTTACCCATGGGATCTTCCTATGAATTTTACCTTTAATATTGCTTGCTTTAGACAAAGTGACTTTGTAAAATTGAGTAGTTCTTATTTCAAAGGGATTTATATTTTGGGCTGCTTGAAAATTTTCCTAGGCTGGGCGCAGTGGCTCATTGCCTGTAATCCTAGCACTCTGGAAGGCCGAGACAGGAGGTCAGGAGTTTGAGTCCTGCCTGAGGAAGAGTGAGACCCCATCTCAATTAAAAATAGAAAAAGTTAGCTGAGCATGGTGGTGTGCACCTGTATAGTCCCAGCTACTTAGGAGGCTGAGGCAGGAGGATTGCTTGAGCTCAGGAGTTTGCACAGTGAGCTGTGCTGATCCCAGGGCACTCTAGCCCGGGCAACAGAGCAAGACTGTGTTTAAAACAAAGAAAATGAAAGAGAGAGAGAGAGAGAGAGAGAGAGAAAATTTTTGCAATATTTAAGTGGGTCTTATTTGCTTTAAACCTAGATACTTATAAACATAAAAAGATCATTTTTAAAATGGGCTAAATTTAAAACTAAGTTTCAGAGATACATTGTGTTAGGTTTTGGTCTTGAAAACAAATTCTGCAATCTTCTGTGAAACCACAGGAATGGCATAGAATAAATTCAACAGCTTTGAGTTGCTGTAGTCTTACATGCCTTCATGGATATACCAATTCACTCTCCCACAAGATATTGTCAAAAAGTGATTGCTGATATTTGGCTTTAAAATTTTATAATGCTCCTAGTTTTTCTTAAATACAAGTCTTTACTGAGTCCTAAACATATTTTTTTAAAAGCCAGTCTTGATGTTATTTGAATCTTGGATAAAATTTTCGTATTTACGTGGTATAACAAGTATGTGAAGGATAAAATTGAAGTATTGCTTCTTATATGTTGTTGGACTATTAAGGTCATTATGATAGGTAATGTTACTAAGAATTTTAAGCCAATTCTATGATAAATAATTTTTCTCTGTAATAGAAACTATAACAATGATGTAGAAGTTAAATAGTATAATTGATTCTGTGTATTATTGCATTTGAAATGGTAAAGTAAGTTGCAATCTTTGAGGCTTATACTTTAGGGATATATGTACATACACATACACCTAATGTAAAAAAATGAAAGCAACTTTTTTATAGCAATTAGAAATAATTTATTTGCTAAAAGGTAAACAGTGTGGTTTG